CCCTTTTTACCCTTCTCACGAAACTTTAATGTTTGATTACCCACTTTTTCTTGTGAGGGTGGGATACCCTCAAACTTTGATCCTGATCCAGATCACCCGGGAGCAGGAGCAGTAGTTGTGAGAGGGGTGAGAATCCTTACCTATCTGGGTGGAAGTATTGGGAATGTTCCCAATAGCTTCAGTTAGAGGCAAGGAAGATGAACCCTCGCCAGATATGGAAAAGTAGTTTGGATCGAGCTCTCATATGTCTGAGAAGAGCTCGTGACCCCTTTATTTTGATCTGATGTTGTCAAAGTCTTTGGTTTATTCTGCTTATCAGGCCAGGTTAAGTCTGTCTGAATAGAGATAGATTTAGTGGAAACTTTAACTGCACTTGAAAATGATTTCCCTTGTGGTGCAATGGGAAAAAATGCAGTTAAATCTACCTGCTTTTCTCTTTCTGCCATATTGGACATTCACGGGAATAAGCAAAATGCTTTCCCTTGCAATTAACACAGCAAAACTCAGCCTGGCAGGTAGCGCTCTCGTGGCCATCATGACCACATCGAGCGCAGGTGTCTTTACCCCTGCAGACAGTCTTGCGGTGCCCAAACCTTTGGCACTTGTAGCAACGAAGAGGATTGGATATGTAAGAATCCACAGGTATGTTTAAATAACCTGCCTTGAGAGTCTTTGGTATGTCGGGACGGTCGAAGCGATGATGTAGGTGCTTGTAGGAATCACCTTATCTCCTCGACAAACACTTATTCGTTTGACTTGTTGTACACCTTGAGAAGAAAGGTATACTACCATTTCTTCTTCACTGCTGTCATCAAGGTCCCGGCAACGTATTTAAAGACCTATGGGGAGACACCTTAATAGGAATGTCTGCCAAAGATGATGATTTAAGAAGCATGGTAGCATGCTGTTCTTTGGCACATTCTATTAAGAGTGTTCCGTTTTTGAGTTTTTTGATAGCCTTTGGATCGCCGGCCAAGCCAGCTATGCCCTTGGTTATAAAAAATGGTGATACTTTTGATAGGTCTTTTGAGGGACTCTCAATTAAGAGGAACCACGGCCAAGACTTTGACATTTTTTATTATGGAATATATTAGAAACGTCCTCAGTATTGGGACGTTTCTGTTTTTGTCTTTCAATTGTTGGGGTTTGGGGGATTAGGGAATCCATGAAAGATTATTTTTTTGATTCACCCCTCGTCGTCCCCCAGATTACTGCCCTGCATACCAGGATAATCTGCGCATAGCCCCAGGGCTCGACGAGGGGTATACTCAAGCCAGAAAGTAAAATACTTTTCTAACCTGATTGACCCAAGCCGCCGCTCTGTAGAATGTACTTAGGACACAAAGGTAAGTAGTATACTAAGTGAATAAACAATCAAGCATTAAACTGGAAAAGGTACATTCTACAGAGCTAAAACGACCAAAGTCGATTGATCAGATTGCGCCACTCTGACCTCCCGTCTAGGTGAACCATGGGCCAAAGTAATGTGTTGCAGAGAAAGGGCTCGCAAGCCAAATCCCCACTCAATTACCAGGATTCCACTCTCCACCGACACAGGTCGCAACGCACGGCAAACAGAGAGAGAGAGAGAAATGGGGTTTAACGTCCACTCGACACAAACTAGGTCATTTCGGGACTAACACACGGTTTAATTTTATTCACATAATTCGCTTGCGCGTAGGGGTCTTTAGCAGTGGGAGGAAACCGGAGGACCCGGAGAAAACCCACGAGGTTAAACAGGCGACCCTACTCCTTGCCACGTACAACCGGGGATTCGAAACCACGCCAGTCGACTCAATGACAGACTTTATGATACAGCGCGCGCGCACGCTAACCATTCAGCCATCCACCCCCCCCCCTCCTGCACGGCAAACACGTTGCCCCATTACAGGGATCCTTTTAGTCGCCCCTTACGACACGCAGGACATACGAAGGGTATATTCTTATCACCCCCCACACACACACACACACACCCCAGGGGGGCCTATGTTACTGCCGGATAACGAATCCCTATAAAAGGTGCTTGCTCGTTATTCGGGATTCGTCAGTAAAACAGACCGGTCTACCTTGTATCCGACAATTTCCTCGCTACCTCCGACCGTACGGGTGAGTGAACTTTGGTGACCGACTAACAAAGAGGCGACCGTTTCTGAAGCGAGTAGGGTGTTGACTGGATTGTTTGTGTGCACGGGACAGTCTAACACTTTACCATATAAACCCGGTTGGGCAAACATGTGATGTACTATTTGTGAAGTGTGTAGGGTGTTGACTGGTTTGTTGGCGTGCACGGAGCAATGCTCCACCGCACTAATCTATGTTATTGCCGAATCCCGAATAACGTGCTGGCTCGTTATTCGGGATTCGGGATTCGCGAATAACGAACCTGCACGTTATCCGGGATTCGGGATTCGCCAGTAAAACAGACTGGCGTATCCTCCATCCGACCATTTCCTCGTTACTTCGGACCGTAGGGATAAGGGGACGTTAGGTGACCGACTAGCAAGGAGACGACCGTTAATCAAGTGTGTAGGGTGTTGACTCGTCTGTAATTACCTGTTTTATTGCTGAATCCCGATTAACGTAACATAGGTGAGTGCGGTGGAGGACTGCCCCGTGCACGCCAACAAACCAGTCAGCAACCTACCCACTTCACAAACGGTCGTCTCCGTGCTAGCCGGTCACCCAACGTTCACTCACGGTCGGAGGAATCGGGGAAATGGTCGGATGGGAGGTAGGCCCGTCTATTTTATAGTCGAATCCCGAATACCGAATAAAGTTATTCGTGATTCGGCAATAAAACAGGTGATTGCTGGAGAGGACTGCCCCGTGCATGCCAACAAACAAGTCAAAACCCTACTCATTTGATAAACGGTCGTCTCATTATTATCCGGCAACCCAACGTTCCCTTATCTCTACGGTCCGAGGTAGCGAGGAACTGGTCAGCACGTTATTCGGGATTCGGCAATAACATTTGTGAGTGCGGTGGAGGACTGTCCTGTGCACGAATAACGTGCCAACTTCACGTTGCCTCGTTGTTGTTGTTTATTAAAGATTTAACGGCCAATACATTAATATGATATTATGGACAGGTTGATTTCATTAAATCATTTACACTTAATGTGTTGAAAATTGGTAAAAACACAAAATAAAAACGTCCGTGTATATCAAAAGTCATTTTAAAATTGGTAAACACACAAAATAAAAGAGTCCTTGTATATCAAAAAGTCAATTTAAAACACACTTATAAAATCGCTGTCGTGAGAAGAGAGGGCGGGTCATCTTCTCCCTTTGTCATAATAAAAAAAAACAAGTTAAAGTAGGATGTCCAGCTGATGGATGTTTGGCGTCATCAGTGTGGATAGAAAAAAACCGTGGGGAAAAAGAATCCGCTTGCGTTATGTGGCAAAGCGAAGTGCTCGCAGTAAAATCCACGGTTAGAGGTACCAGCCATGCCTTACTTTATAAAGAGACTGGGTTGGTTCCAATCTCAGGAAGACGTCGACGTCATAAATTAAAATTAATGTTTAAAATTATTAACGACCTCGCGCCATCATATCTCTCTAACCTATGAGTACTTTCGTCTACTCCTATCAATTAAACTCTTAGAAACAAAGATAAACTAAACCAGATGCAGAACCGAAATTTTCCCCGAGTCCTTCATCCCTTCCAGTATACGAGAATGGGAAAAAACTTGAAATTAGAAACTGTCGACCCCTTGCTATCCTTGAAAATTCACTAAACAAATTAGACACCATCGTGCCATTATATTACTATCTAGGGTAAAGAAAATTACAAATAATCCACTGTAAACTAAGATTATGCTGCTCAAATCTACAAGGCCATAAATTCCTCAGACACGTCGATGATGATAGCCCTGCTTGCCTCTGCGGTCACAAATTCGAAGATACCGAATACTATTTACTCGCATGCCACTTATATTCAGATGCAAGAAAACAGACAATCCATAACCTTCAACATAATCATAAAACAATCAGTTGTCTGTTGTGTGGGTCTATAAAATTTAGTCCTGAGATAAACACACTTATTTTCCAAGAAGTCCAACAATTTCTTCTCTTATCAAAAAGATTTAAACCACTATAAAACAACTCTTAAGTTATTTCAAGCCCTGAAAACTAACGATATTGATAACTAAGCAAATGGAGTAATTTTTAAATATAATGGCTCAAGGGAGGCATTATATTTAAAAATTACTACATTTGTATTTTGTAGCCGACAACTTATTAAAGTAAACGAAATTGAAAACTATGTAAACTAGTTATTTAAACATATTTGATATAATAAACATATATTTGAAAAACATTTTACACTTATATCAATACATAAGACCATCTTTGAAAACTATTAAAGGGAGGTAATTGGCACACATTGTGTAGGCTAATATATGGTTGAATCAATTTCTCATCAGTCATCTAATCCTATTCTGATACATTTGTGGTAGCTGAAATAGGTTGAAACAAGTGAACTTTACTCTGATCTAAACATTTAACAAATACTAAATCTAACAGACTTCCACCCGTTGTTGTTTCAAAGTTCACAAGTTGCATAAACCCATTCTCAAACATACATCTGTAAATTAGGAATGAATAAATCCGCTTTATAACAGCTAGGTCTGTAAATAACAACAACAGTAAGATAAATATCAGGTATACTAAATACAACATGTTCTATATTAAAGGTACCTAATCTATGTATATTACAATGTCTCTTATTGCTATAATAAATACCAACGCCACCGTTTTTCATGGATTTTATTGTGTCATATATATTAGAGTTATCATAACATGTATAGCCATCAAGTTTAAAGTTTCTACATTCTGCGATAAATCTTAATAAATTTGGTACTAGAGTTCAACATACTTTTAAAACCATCAAAAGACAAACCGGAGATATAATTTTTAAGACATCTACAAATGTTTTAATAAATAAAAAATAAAATAATGATCTATAGAATAATTTATGAGGCATAAATAAAACAAACTCCAAACATCTCCTTACAATTAAATCAAATTATACTATTATAAATTTAGTAGAGAGTATATAATATACTTTCAAATTTCTGCTAAAGAAAGTGTAGTACAACATAACTGTACAATTTCTGTAATAAAATTACAATATAAAATATATTTATTACATACCATTACAATTTTTATAAATGAAATGAAATGAAATGGGGTTTAACGTCCTACTGTTCTGCTCCTAACCTGGGCTAATGAAGACGGGCATACGCCATACAGTGTGCTATGAGGGAAATTTTGCCCGGACAGCGGCACTACGGCCTACTCTTATATCGAATTCCAACTGCCAAGGGATCTTTTACGTGCACGCCAATGTGTACACGGGACCTCGGTTTTTCGTCCCATCCGAACGACTAGACAGCTTTCCTTGTCAGCCCCTCCGTCCTGCATCACTGACAAGGGAGAACCACGCCGGAAAATCTGGATGAACTTTCTCGGCCAATGCAGGGATCGAACACCCGACCTCCAGGCTAGCGAGCTAGCGCCTTACCCACTTAGCCACGTGATCCCCACAATTTTTATAATAAATATAATAATATTACAATATGGAATATATTACATACCATTACAATTTCTGTAATAAATATAGTTGATCTTTATACAATTTCTGTAAAGAAAAAATTCTGTAATAAAGAAAAACTTGATGTCTGTTTCCGAGTTCAAGATGATACTATCAAAGGGAGGTAATTGTTCACTTGTTTCAATGTATATCTTCACAATTTCTGTAATAAATTTAGACAAATTATAGTATAGCATACAATAGCCTACATATATGAACAATTTCTTTAATCAATTTAGAAAATATAAGATAACATACAATACATATCGTTACAATTTCAGTAAATAAAAAAATCTCTTTTTAGCAAATTCTGCAATAAATTTAATATATAATTCAAGACGATATGACCCAAGGGAGACAACTGACCGAATATTTGACGACTGGCTAATCTAAAGTATTTTCAAGTCAATTCATTATCAACCATCTAATCCTATTCTGATGCATACATTGTAACTGAAATAGGTTGATACAATACCATCTTTGAGAACAGTAGGACGTTAAACACCATTTCATTTCATTTACAGACCAGTTTGAGAACTATTAAAGGGAGGTAATGGGCACACATTGTGTAGGCTAATATTTGTTTGAATCATTTTATCATCAGTCATCTAATCCTATTCTAATACATTCGTGGTAGCTAAAATATGTTAAAACAAGGTTTAAGTGAACTTTACTCTGATCTAAATATTTAACAAAAACTAAATCTAATAGAGTCCCACCTGTTGCTGTTACAACATTTACAAGTTGCGTAAAACCATTCTCTGGCATACATCTTGCAATGGTTGAATTTCCATCCAAAAGATTCTGATTGAAGTCACCTATTACATTCATATCACCAACATAGTTTTCTAACTCTGTCAATAAAATCTGTAAATTACGAATGAATAAATCTGCTTTATAACAGCTAGGTCTGTAAATAACAACTACAGTGAGATTAATATCAGGTATATTAAATACAACATGTTCTATATTAAAGGTACCTAATCTATGTATATTACAATGTCTCTTAATGCTATAATAAATACCAACGCCACCGTTTTTCATGGATTTTAATGTGTCATATATATCAGAGTTATCATAACATGTATGTCTAGGTTGATTAAATAATGTATAGCCATCAAGTTTAAAGTTTTTACATTCTGCTATTTGGGAGATCCAAGTTTCTGTTAAACAGATAAAGTCAGCCTGGGTAAACCTATAATCATTCTTCACGTCTTCATAATGTTGCATTAATCCCTCTACATTAAACAGCAATATTTCAGTATTTCTACGATTTTCTAACTGAGGTTCTAAATATAATGGCATCTTATTGATTGATTCTTCAATTCAAGGATCACAATATATTACCTTCTCATCAAAATCTCTAATAATTAAACCCTCTAAAGATGTGACTCGGCTCAATGCCACGTACGCCTGACCTGGTGAAAATATTTTCTTTAGTGATACAACTGCAGAACTGAGAATCAAACCTTGTACTTTATGCACAGTTGTACTATAGCTAAGTTTAAGTGGAAATTGTCTCCTTATGTCGCCACGATAATTAACTTTTTCTTCTTGTATCTTAATAGGAGTGCTGCCGTCTGGTATATCGTCATTTGATCTTTTATTTTCTCTGCATAAAATAGCCCCAACGCTTTCGTCATCAAACTTTACATATTTTATTTTAGGTTTATCATTATCCATTGTGATATAAGTTACTTTACCAAAACAACCATTATAAGACCATCGCTAACATTCAAATTCTTAATTAACATAACTCTTGCACCAATACCAATTACTAATACGTTACGTAAACTAGAATCTACATTACGAGTCAGATATTTGTCCAATTTCTTCATTTTACCTGTTCTAGCATCTTTTGAATAATCGTTGGCTGCTATGGTTATGGTATCTGGACATTTACGGCGTAAGAATTTAACCTGCATCAGATTCTTCACCTGTAACCCTACTGCTGAAAAAATTAATATCATCTACAGACATTTCATCAGAATTCTTTTTTGTGCGTATTCTATTAAGTGCTTGCGCAAATGTCAAATCATCTCTCTGTCTCATTATTTCGGTAAGTTGAACAAGTTTAAAATTATCTTGCCACAGATTAACCATTTCATTTTCATTGTACAGAGCTCTGCCTTTCACGGGAGGTAACTGGTAAAAATCTCCAACTGCAATAATAGAAACATTACCAAATGGTACATGATCAGGTGTTTGTTTGATTTGTCTTAATCTACCGTGTATGTAACATAATAGTTTATGATCAACCATGGATATTTCATCAATTATCAGAATTTCTAGATTACCTAATTTAGATCTAAGTGTGTTAACTTTATCTGAGAACAATCCTATGTAAGGCAACTTTATATGAATCGGTATATTAAAAAGAGAATGGATGGTACATGTACTTGATGAGATGTTAAACGCCGATACGCCAGTTGGGCAGGTAACTGCAACTGTTGTGTCATCGGGACTGTCACTAATTCTGGCTAATAATCTTGATGCTTCATAATACATACATTTGACGATATGACTCTTTCCGCTACCGGCACCACCTGTTAAAAGTAGCATGAATTGTTCTGGGTTTTTGTTATGAATTTTATCTAGACAGAATTGTCTTACTTTGTAAAATACTTGTGATTGTAACTTATTTAATGATCTTAATAAAGGTATAGCTTGTGAATGGGAGATAACTGTGTCAGATTTTTCTTTATGCCTATCTTTCTTGGCTGATTTTCTATTGCCTAACAAATATGGTATCTCGACAGGGTCGTCGTCATCTTCATTAATTGTATCATTACCTTGTAATTCAATACATTCTAAACGATCAACTTTTGTTTCAATACAAATATTTGCCCATGCATCGTCTAATGGTCCACATTTCTCGAAGATTTCTTGTGCTATTTCAATATTAACTGCATCTTTCTCATATTGTTCACGGTTGTTGTTAACACTTTCTCTTACTAATTCAACATCATTATAATATCTCACAGATCCAAATTTATAGAAATCTTCGTATGTTTCAAAAGGAGCAGGCTTAAGCTGTTCAGTTTGTCGATAAAGCAGAAAAAGTTGTAGACTACTGAGATAAAAAAAGCTCTGGATTTTTTGTGATTGAAAATCTAGCGTAACGTATTACAGCGGGACTAGTTCTTGTACGTTTTATGATATAACCAAGGTCACCTTTAAGTTTATATGCAGAGTTGTTTTCACGATCAACATCAATTTTCTCGCTCTTAGCCATGACTCTATATTCAGAACAGAACTGAGCTATACACTTATAATCGAATTGAATGCCATCAGGTCGTGCCCTATATCTATCAACAATGCTAGTTTGATACATATTATCATCCGTTAATGTTCCTTCATTTGCCCAACTTTTAAGTATAGATAAAGGTAATGTCAGTAGGATATTATTCTCACCTGTCGGTATAAATACTACGTTTCTGGATGTTTCTTTAAGACGTAGATTACACACACGATATGCTGCCTCTTGTGCCGATACCTCTCTACTATGTAAATATGTACTTGAAATCTTTTTTAGACTACTTTTAGCATCCAAATTACCTTCAACAGCTTCTTTGTGAGCATCGCCTAATAACAAACCAATTTCTCTTTCAGACTTTGATATATATGACACAATGTATACAATACAACTGTAGGCATCAAATACATATTTTATGTCCAAATTAGCGTTCCATGCTCTTAGTAAGTCGGGATTATACTGATTTATCCATACATCATTGGGGTCTCTTTTAAGAACTACATAGTTTTTCTTTGTCAGCTTTTCACATTTTTTTACAAATAACTCTTGAGTGATATCAAGATCAGCATATAAATCATCAATAGAATCGTAATTCTTATCAGGGTCCGAGATGGCCTTCATTATGCATTCTAGGATTGTTTTAACTTGATCATTGCTAATTTCGTCCTTTCTGGGTTCATGATTATCGCTTTTGTCCATGTCTACAGTTCTACAAACAAAGCTTTCTTCAGAGGGTGGTCTAGGAAAATTAAATTGACATACCGTATTTTTCTTTTTACAAGATTTTGAATGCTTTTTACTGTGCGTTTGAACACTGGATAAAATTTCGTGTAGTTCTGGATCGTCTGAAATATTTGGCATTTTACATGTTATGTATTTATCTATAAATTCAACAATTTTACTGTCAGGGTCTCTACCAAGTACGGGTGCATCTTCTATCCATAATAACATGTGTACATGAGGACTTCCACGTAATTGAAATTCGATGCGATAAAAATAATCTTTTACTTTACCAATAGGCTCAGCTTTTGACATGATAAAATTCTTTAAGAAATAATGAAACCTGTGATCGAACATTCTGCCTATAGTTATCGGATTGCTTCTAAGTATTTCTTGTTTCTCGGCACAATCTAAATCACTAAATCACCTTGCTGTCTAAGAATTACCTCAATAAAAGTCGACCAACGAAGTTCGCCGCAACTATAACTAGTAAAATATGTGGGAACTCCAAGTTGTCTAATCATAGCAAACAAATCTGATTGTGTACTCTTCCAATAACTTGGTGAACCTCGTACTGATTTCAAAAATCGATAGCCATCATAACATTTCAAAATATTTTTCAAAGGTTCTTCATTTGTAAGCATATCGGCTGTTATTCTATTACCACCTGATTTTGTTTTGCGTAAAGCGATGGAGACACTTGAGACAACTTGACTGAGTTCATATAAATACTGAGCATAAAAGATGTAATCTGTATTTTTAGCAAATCGGTTATCAACGTTCATTAGACGACAGTGTAAATAACGACCTAAAGTGATTTGTTCATCTCGATTATCAGCAAATGTATTTTGTCCAGTTGGAAATAGAGTCGGAAAACACAGAGCTTCATTTGTTTTGTCTGTTAAAATTCTTACAGGATTTTTATTTTCTGTCGGAGAAATAGAAAATATACTATCAGTGTTGTCTAAAATTTCTTGTGCAAGATCAACAGGTTGCAAACACGTACTTAACAATGGTCCATGTAACTCATCAAGTGCCATGTCTATGTCTGGTAAACTATCAGTATCGTCTTCTCTTGTATTATTGTTTCCAGTGTCAGGTATCAACTGTTCAATATTAGAGTTATCTCCCTTTACTTGACTTTCATTAATAATTTCAAAATTCCAGTTTTTGTCAAATTCGACTTCTCTGTAATATTGGTTATTTTCCTTCAAAAAAAGTAAAGCATCTCTTAATTTAGGCTTGCTAATAAATTCATATTGATAATAGCTTTTATATGTAATTCTTTTTTTTTAAGTTTCAGTCTAATGAGCTGATCAGAACCTTCGGATCTTGGTAAAACCTTAGTCACTTCATTAATATTGTTAGGAATACAGACAGTTTCTCCACAGACTTTATACTGTTGTGTCTTTGCTAAATTAACCATTTTCATGAAAGGTATATTTAAAGCGATTAAATGTCTCTTCAGACTAAACATGCTAGCTGTTGTGGTATATGGCCAGGTTCTAAATTGTTTGTAACACTTTCTGTAGGTATTTTACCAGATTTGATTTTAGAATCGCAAGTAAAACAAATCCATAACGATTTATAACCTTCGGGATAGTCACAGTTATCTATACAGTCAATAGAACATTCGTGTAAATATGTTTTAGTGATACAATGGGTTGCTACTTTCTTGACTTTATCATCTTTATTATATAATTTCTCGTTGCATGAATTTACTTGGTTTTTAAACATTAATCTGTGACATACACAGCAGATATATTCTGGACCATGACTCGATTCTTTCTTAAACTCTTCGTGAACTTTTTCTATGTATGACATCTCTATCTGTTTTGTTAATTTTCTTTGTTTATTCTGATCAATTATTTTTTTCTTATGATTTTTATCGGTTCGATATCTATCAGAGCTAACCTGCTTTACTCTATTTTATATGATTCATATTAATCCTATTTCTTGTCAGTGCTAAGCTGCTTTACTCTATTTCTATGATTTATATTAATCCTATATTTGTCAGTGCTAAGACGTTTAACATGATTTACATTGGTCCTATATTTAAACACACTGCGCTTTTTCAATTTGTTACTAAAAACCGGATTCTTTTTATATTGCTCATTGATTTTATTTCTGTACTGTGCGTTAACATGATATCGTTCTTTATAGATTGATTTAACCCTTCGTTTAAAACTTCTATTATTTCTGTAACGGTTACAAGAGCTATCATATTTTTAGATTTCTTTGCCAATTTGTGAGATTTCCAATGGTTTCCTCTTTTTCTGTTTTAAACTAGATAAGAAGTTCTTTGCTCATTATTCATTATATTAACAGATTCATCAAGAGCCTTCATATCACAATCATTACTTATTTCTGACATATGCTCATCGTTTGAATTGTTAAAAGTTTGTGCCTTTAGAGTCTTTTTCGATTTTTTCCATTTATTGCCTCTTTTTCTTTTCTTTGCTATAACTTCAGAAAATGAACTTTGTTTTAAGGTTTTGTCTATTTCGTTAAGGTTTTGTCTATTTCGTATAGTGTATCATTGTTCGGTACATTTGGCGTTTGTTCCCAATTTGTATCATTCAAGTCATTACTTCTGAAATGATTTCTTCAACTAAAGGAATATCTCTCATAACATCCATTACAACTTCATAATGTATTCCATTCAGATGATTAATATATACTATTCAAAAAAAGTAGGGGATATTTGATTTTTAAGTGTTATTAAAGTCACCTAATGAAACTGACGAAGAAACAAATGACAAAATGAAATGAAGTTCACATTCATCGATTTATTCCAAATGATCGTTAGACTAAGTAAGGCACAGACTGACCATTATAAGGGTAAAATGATACCCGGGGTCAAACAGCAAAGTTACCACAGCATCACAACCAAGTCAGTAACGGGTAAATCCTCCTCTGTTTGCCAAACAAGCATTGATCCGACGTGGCATACTCCTAATGAGACGTCTAAGGTCATTTTGGTCCAGATTGTCCCATTCCTGTTGCAACGCAGCAGCAAGTTCTTGGACATTGGCAGGACGTTGTTGACGTTGACGTAACCTCTGTCCAAGCATGTCCCAGACATGCTCGATGGGGGAGAGGTCGGGACTCAGTGCTGGCCAAGGTAATGTGGTGATGTTCTGTTGTTGGAGGTAACCTGTAACGATCCTGGCCCTGTGACATCTTGCGTTGTCATCCTGGAAGATGAAACGGCGGCCATGACGTCGTGCGAACGGCACAACATGGACTGCCAAGATGTTGTCCCGGTAGTACTGGCCTGTAACACGCCCTGCAACAACATGTAAAGCCGTTCTTCCAGCAACAGTGATGCCTCCCCACACCATAACAGAACCACCCCCAAATCGATCATGTCTGATGACGTTAACGTCTTGGAAGCGCTCGTTTCGACGACGCCACACCCTCCTACGTCTGTCCAAAAAATCAACAGTGAACCTTGTCTCATCTGAAAACATCACATTGCTCCAGCGTCGATTATCCCAGTGTTGACGATCCCTACACCAACGACGTCTTGCCTGAATGTGATGATCTCTCAAACAAGGGATCACGCGAGGACGTCGGGCGCGAAGGTGACCCCTATGCAGTCGATTCCGAATCGTCTGGCCACTCACTCTCACACCAGTGTCTGTTTGAAGACGAGCGCTGATCTGATTTGCTGTGATGACACGATTTCTCAAGGCCAAGGTACGGATAAATCGATCCTGGGCTTGAATTGTCGCCATTGGTCGACCTGAGCGTGGTCTGTCCTGTACAGATTGTGTATCACGGTATCTGGACCATAGCCTGCTTATGACAGACTGAGAAACATTCATCGTCCGCGCCACAACCGCCTGTGTTGTGCCGATCTGTAGCATGCCAAGGGCACGTAACCTTTCATTTTGGGTAAGCCGACGCATATCAAAATTTGTTTTCTGGTCACTAAAACAATTAAACTGATGTTTCCACCCTGGAATTCAATGCCACAATGACTGTAACATTCAAAGTCAGAGTCGTGCAAATCTTGGGTTGGACCCCCATGATGATTCCAAGCATCACCTGCATTCCATGCGGTAGCTATTGGTGCGTTTGGGAGTCACATGTAACTGGAAATGTTTCTTCTGTTAGGTTCTATAGTGACTTTTTCGTAGTCATTTGCATATTTTAGTATTATGCCCCCAAAATCAAATATCCCCTACTTTTTTCGAATAGTATAGTATGCATCTACCATTCTCAGATAACAGTCCTCTATTACTTCTGCTGTGTGAATCAAATATAAAAAATGTATTCAAGAGTTTCATTATTGCAAATGTATTGCCGCCAAATGTAACAAAGCATGATTCGTGCATTAACAGACTAGTTTGCAGGGCTTCAAATAAGTGCATAACTATGTCATCTATTCCACTTGCATTTCTTGACCATAATAATCCGACATATGAATCATCGCCGATGTTGAGACTAAATATTTTACCAAATTTTTCTATTTTATCTGGAAGTTCCGATGCCAAAATATATATCTTGTTAATTGATGACATCGACAGAAGAGAAGCATATAATTCATTACCTGCTATTAATATACTGTCCAAGTCTGCCCTATTCCAACTTTCTAAAGGTTTTACTTTAGTGAACAACATAGACATGGCGCTCATAGCAACACACTGACTTCCACTAAATCTACCGAATAAAGGATTTCCTTGATGGTAACTAGCTAAAACTGGATGTTCCATGTCAATTGGAAAAGTAGGAATGTTTATAATAGTTTCAACTGGTTTATTAGACAGAGTAGGTGTTTTGTCATTTGAAGGACTAGTAACATTAAAGTTTTCTGTGTTTTGGGGAATGCTATCTTCTTTAACAGAGCTATAGTTCTCACCTGAAGACATTGATACAGTGGATGCATTCTGTTCTTTCTTTATTTCTGTTTTATCTTTATTTTGCTTTGCCTTCAAATTATCTATGGGATTAAATCTACGTCGTCTTGCCATTTTTATTCTGCAAAGAATGTAACAATTTAAAGGTTTCTTTCAAGTAACAAAATAGTCTCCCTTTAGTCACACCAAAAATGGAGTTATCTCCCTTTTGCTTAAAAAAAAATTACAACACTTTCTTCAATTATTAATAAAATTGTGTCTATTACAAGACAAGTCTATTACGAGACTTTTTGGTTTATGCTTCTACGTTTATGGTCATTAAAGTGCTTATATTTTTGATGGTTATTACATTGCTTCCAGTGTTGTTGATAGTTTAAAAAAAGGATGGGCAACACTCCCGAAATCAATAAAAAGTTGGGACCTTAAAGGAATAGGTACACAGGTCCAAGCTGGTTCTGAAAAAATATAAAACAAAATTGTTAAAATCAAAAATATTTTAAATACCATGTTAGCCTATAATAAAATCATATTTTAATGTCCAGATATTATTTCTAAACTTTATACAATTGTCGACATATTATTAAAGATCTGACGTTTTATGAGTTTACGCAATATTAGAAATTAAACAGCGGATATATACTTACGCACAAGGAACCGTTGTGGACTGTTAAGTTGCACTGGAATAGATTAAAAAGCCAATAAAGATACATTATTTTTTATTTGAGGATAATAAAATGATTATTGATGTTAAGAAAGGACCTTAAGCTGTGTCACCAGAAATACTGACAATATAATGCACATAGGCAAACAGTTCTTTTCACAAGTCTGAAATATAATTACTATTCGAATAAATAGTATATCATACAGACATTTTTCATGTCCCTGTGATAAACAGCTGAAGTTCAATATTTAGTAAAACAAGGAGAGTATTATTCCAATCCCATTTATTCAACATTAATATGTACGCAACATGTAGATTTGTAACTTTAAGTATATGGAGTTTAATATTCTGTTTAATGGTTATTATCATTATATAATACATGTTTTAATATAGAGTTGCTTTTGCCATAAGTGTTCAGTAGTGCTTTACAATAATTGCAACAAGTCAAATGAAAACATAAAATGACAAGCATATAAAACATAAAATGACACACAAATAAACTATAAAATGACACAAATAAAATATAAAGTCAAAAAAATAAAATGACAAATAAAAGAATAAAACTGAACATGTAAATGTAATACTGAGATAAAAGGGCTCGCCAAAATTTTCTTATTA